CTACTTGAGTTTTAAAATGTGGTATCTGATCCACACAAAAGCACAGAAAACTAGCACGTAACCTAGAAGACAAAATAACAAACATTGCCAACAACCACCCCTAACCCCGGCCGCTCCTCCCACTGCAGCTGTCCCAATAGCAGCTTCGCTTTGAGTTTTGAGTGGAATAATTTCCTTGCTTCCCCCCCCCCCAAGATTCATTTATTTAATTAAAAGGTAAAGTTATAGAGTGGGGGCAGGGAGAGAGAAGCAAAGAGAGAAGCAAAGAGAGACCGAGAGAATTCTTCTACCTCTTGCTTAACTCCTCAAATAGCCACCAAGGCAAAAGCTGGGCCAAGCCAAAGCCTGGAGCCAGGAACTCCGTCCAGGTCTCCTACACATGTGCAGGAACCCAAGGACTCAGGTCCTTTTCTGATACCTTCACTGGCACATTAGCAGGAAATTAGACCAGCAGTGGAACAGGTGGGACTCAAACCAGTGCTGATGTAGAATGCTGGCATTGCAGGCCACCGCTTAACCTGCTGAGTCACAATACTGGCCCTCATTTTATTGCTTTTGAAATGCAAGTTTTAGGGCAGGTTGACCTAGTGGTTAAGACGCCCATGTTATACATCAGAGTGCTAGGGTTGCAGTCCAGCTCAAGCTCTTGATTCCAGCTTCTTGCTAAAGGAGACCCTGGGAGGCAGGAGCAGGTGAGGACTCAAAGACCTGGGGTCTGCCAACCCAGTGGGAGACCTGGCTGGAGTTTCTTTTGGCTCCCAGCATCAGAATGAGCTAGCCTCAGCTGTTGTGGACAAGTGAGGAATAAACCAGCAGATGGGAGTGCATGTGTTTGCTCTCTCCTAAAATTAAAAAAAAATATATATATATATATATACACACACATATAAAACTCATGTTTGAGCCATACATTGAGCCGTATGTTCCTGGACACAGCAGGAAAGAAAAAGCTGATGGAAGTGGGAAACAGCGGAGGGGAACTCCCCAGCTGTGTTCCTGCCTTTTGAAATGCCAATCACCATTGTTCACATCTCTTTAAGGATTCTAATCCCTAAGCCTATTAAGGTTCACCAAGAGTGGGATCCTCCCCCAGACTGCAACGGAGGTCTTATTACTTTATAGTGCAGCAAAAAGTGCTCAGAACAACATCAGGGTGATATCCAGCCGTGGATCTCCTGGGAGGAAATTTCCACCAGCTGGTGCCTGATAAAACTCCCATCCGCACCCCAGGGTGCCCCACGGCTCTTTGCTTGCGCACTGGCTTGGAGAGGGGAGCAGAAGCCTGACACTCCTCTCACAGAGATGGTGTGCTTCACCCCTGCCCGGGCAGCCTGCATTTGCTTCCACTGTGAGGTTTTAAGCAAACACATGTACCAGTGGAAAAGGCAAATGCAGGTTTAGCTCTGCGGTCAGGAAAGCTGGGAAGAATGACCTTAAATAGCAGCAGCAGCAGCAGGCCAATATATTTATCTGTGGACTTGTGAAATATTAATGCAGCATTCTAAGCATATACACACACAGGCAGATGCTCCACAGTAAGGCATTCCTGGATCTCTGGGAAGAATTGCATTTGAGTTGAGCGGCTATCATTAGCCAAGATGTTACATTTGCTTCCAAGCACCCTGTGGCCAACACAACAGCCTTTGGGGGTCAGTTTCCTGTTCATCCTTGCACTTGCCAGCAGAGGGGCCACAGGTATTGGGGGTGGCACAGGCACCTACCTTCAGGCTGCTGAGCCTCTAAGTCATCCTCAAAAGATACATATCCTCAGAGGCCTCCTTCTGCCTTCCACCTGGTCCTGGGTTTACCAAGGGATTCTGGGAAAGCCATCAGGTGCTGCTAGACACTGGTGAGCTAAATGGTCTCATTTTGCAAACAGCCAGCCAGGAAGCACAGCCTGTGGACATGACAGAGCCTTCCTAGCAATCCCTTCCCAGCACTCCCTTAGCACAGGGCCCAGGCCATGGCCAGGAGCCAGAGGCTCTATCCAGGTCTCCCATGTGGCTGCAGGGACCCCAGGACTTGGGCCCTCATCTGCTGCTTCCCAGGTGCATTAGCAGGGAGCTGAACTGGAAACATCTAAAACAATGCTAAACAGAGTTGCTTCACTTTCTTTCTTTTTAAATTATCTATTTCTGTTTTGTTTGAAAGGCAGAGACACAGGCTCACTCCCCAAACGCCCACAGCAGCTGAGGCTGGACAGAGGCAAAGCCAGGTCTCCCACACAGGCAACAGAGACCCAAGTACTTTGAACCAGCGTTTGATCCTTCCAAGGATGCTCATTAGCAGGAAGCTGGAATCAGAACTGGGGCTTGAATCCAAGCACTCTAGAATGGAACCCCCACACGGTGATGTGGCCATTGTGCTGCAGTGATGGACAGCTGAGAGCATGTTGAAAAACAGGCAAAACCAACGGTCCACCCCTGCCCAGAAAGAACCACCACAGTTCAGAAACGATCCCTGCCCTGGAATCAGGCTGTCTGGACCTTTTTCGGACACAACACAAATGTGCTGTGAGAAACAGAAGCAGCCACTTCCTCCCTGCAGCCTTCCGTTCAGTGGCCAGGCTCGGCAAGATCACAAAGCCTCTACTCCCTCTGACTCCATTGTGATTGGAAATACAACCCCGGCTTGGTCACAGCCCTTCACTGCTCACCTCCCGTGTGTGTGTGTGTGTGTGTGTGTGTCGGGGTGGGTCCTCTAGAATGTTCCAGAACATTCCCTGCTGATTGATACCCCCTTCTGGTCCAGGGTCCTGACTGTAATTGGGGCTGTTTCCAACCTCCCAGCTGGAGGTAAGCCTGAGACTTGGGGGTTAGCCACAGTTTCCTCCAATCAGGATGCAGGCATATCCCGTCTCTCACTGGAAACTTTTCCCAAACCAGACAGCACATCTGTTCATTTTCTGCTTGCTAGAAATGTTTATTTTCTTCTACTTGAAAGGCATTGTGACACAGAAAGGTGGCAGTAAGCAAGGAGAAAGAAGGTTAGAAAGAAATTGCAGCAGAGAAAGAATGCAATCTTCCATAAGCTACTCCAGATGTCCCCCAAAATGGATAGAGCTGGTGCAGGTTGAGGCTAGGAGCCAAGAACCACACCTGGGTTTCCCATATGGGGAGCAAGTGCCCAAGCCCCTGAGCCATCATCTGCTGCCTCCCAGGTATGTTAACAAGGAGTTGTCTGGGAAACAGAACAGCTGGCACTTGAACCTGCACTCTGATGTGGGATGCAAGTGTCCCAAGCCAAAGCTTAACCCACTGTGCTACAATATCCATGCTGGCCTGTTTTTGGGACTGTGGTGCTCTTGCCCCTGGAGGAAGGCAGCATGGTCCACCATCACTTGAAATGCACTGCTGACCAACAGACCAGCCATCTTCCTTTTCATCTTGCCACTCATTCTTTTCTTCTCTCCCCTACCTGGCTCACTTCCTCCACTCTCTCCCCTAAAGTCCTGTCCCTTCCTCTCTTCTTCCCACATAACTTCTGCTCTCCAGGGCTTCATTACCCTGCCTTCTTTCACATCCATGGGTCTGTAATTTGGATCGGCGACTCTGTAGTTCTGTCCTAAAAAGCAGGGCCCATACTCCTGGGCTATTGAGGCTCTCTAACCCATACCCAGTTAAGGGCCCAGTGGCCCCTTTATTACTCCTCTGGCTGCTGTGGAAGAGGGGCCTATCACATCATTCACCAGGCCTCTCTTGTGGTCTCAGCTGACAGATGCGTTCTCCTGCTAGGACTGCCGGAATGAGGTGTCCATAGACAGGGTGGCTTGGAGACCTTCATTTGTTCACAGTCACAAGCTCCAGACATCCAAGACCCAGGTATCTTCCGAGGTTCCTCTTCTCAGCTTGTATGTGGCCATTGTCTCCCTGTGTCCTTCCTAACACTGATACCAATCAAACTGGGTTCTTCCAGTGACCTCAGTTTAATTCTCTCCATAAAGATTAGCTCCAGGGGCTAGCACTGTTGTGTAGCAGTTGGGCTGCTGGTTACAATTTCCCCTATGGGAAACTCCCAGCTGCTCTACTTCTGATCCAGCTTCTCTTAACAGCCTGGAAAAGCAGCAGTAGACAGCCAACATGCCTGGGTCCCTGCACCCACATGAGAGACCCTGGCTCCTGGCCTTGGCCTAGCTCAGCCAGGGCCATTATGGCCATCTGGGGAGTGAATCAACAGATGGATGACCTCTCTCTTTCTCTCTCTCTGCCTTTCAGATAAATCTTTTTTTTTTTTCTTTTCTTTTTAAAAAAGTTTTATTTCCAAGCAATGATACTCTGTGGTTCAGAGGTTAGACTCCAGCTTGAATTCTGGGTACCACAGCCCAGGCCCTAAAACAGGTATGGTGGCAAGAGTCAGGGAGGGGCCACAGTCCTGCTCCATGCTGGGGTCAGGCTGGATACTCCCAGGCTACAGAAGGCATGGTCCCTGCAGTTCACAGGGGATAGTTCCAGGGTGACCAATCAGCACCCCAGTCCTGGGCACACCCTCATAGCCATTGGCACTTGGACTAATGGAAACCAGGCAAGTTAAGCCTACAAGGAGCTAAACACCAGGTAAACCAACAGTTTAATAAAAATGAAAGCCATGACAGCACAGTGAGCAGGCAACAAGCCGCTTTAGAAGGTTCCGTGTGTTGGTCACTCTGACAACCCAACTCCATCCACATGGCTTCCTGGGGGCCACGGGACTGGTCCCCGCACATGCCAAGGTTCACCTACCCACCCTGCTCCCGTGGGGAGCAGGGATGTCTGTCTTTCTAGTTTTGACCCCACTGGTCCTGAACCCCTCACCCATGGGGAAAGCCACCTGAGTCTGACCTGCACCCCACCATGATGACATCGATGTCCCCAGCTTGGCAGACAGTGGCAAGCTTGTGGTACTGACAAGGCGTGGCGATGGGGATGCTCGCTGCTGCGCCTGCGCAGGAGTCAGCCGCTGCTCTGGGCTCTCCCGGCACCCCCTACCAATGCCTCCGAGTGCTGCGGGTCCACGTCTCTTGCGGAGAGCTCTGGGATGCAGACTGCTTGGGAACCGTGCGGGGTCCCCAAGTCCGCGCTGGGCGGGCCCTGCCTGGCAGGCAGGGGCCAGTCAGGAAGTACTGCTTCTCCTCCGGGGGTGGAGGGCCTTCCTCCGTGCCACGTCCTCCTCAGTGTCACTCTCGCAGTTCCTCTGGAGTGGGTGGGAGGAGAGGGAAGGGTCATGAGTTGCCAGGAATGGGACTGAGGTGGGGAGGGAGAGCAACCTGCCTCCCCTGGGGCCAGGGGCCTGCACACCCAGGAGGCGTTAGGTGCTGGTGGGACACTGGTCAGCTTCCACAGATCTGGGCTGGGGCGGAGGTAGGAAAGGATGAGAAAGAAGACAAGACCCGTTGATTGATTGGTTGAGTGTCTTGAGCCTTCCTGTGGTGAAAGGGGGTGGACGGGGAAGGAGGCATGCAGGACATGGAAGGGATGCCAAGCACCAGGACAACCTAAATTATAACATGGCAATTCCATCTGGTGCCGTTCAGCTACCACATCACCCACACTGCTTGGCTAGGTGGTCCTTGGGCTACCAGGTCTCCTGAGCTCCCCCTGGAGAGAACACATGTATGCCCGTGTACATGTATGCATGCATGTGCTTACGTGTGCCACACCCTGACAGCCACCTCTCCCTTCTTCTCTGACAGGCTTAGGCTGTCCTTCGAGTGAGCCCTATGTGCTGTTTTTGCAATGAAATCACTTCTGACCTCTATTTGTGTGAAAGGAGGGAAGCATCAAGTAGAACCTGCCAGCTTGTCCATGGCAACATCAGAGCGCAGCAGTCACTTGGAGGGGCATGTGTCTGTTCACTTAGGGCACAGCTATCCAACCTAATTATGAAAATTATTTTTAAAAGTACAAATGCAAGAAGTCTTAAGGGAGTCACTAAAAAGCTGTTATCAAACAAAATAATGAAAATAACAAACTACCCAAACCAGAAACAATCTGTTAGAGGTCCAATGTCAATGCCTTCTAAATAGCAGCATCTATCATTGTTATTTTTCCTCTTTTTTTTTTTTTAAAGGAAAGTCCTCTTAGCAAAACTGTGTATCACCTGTTCCTGTGAACCACTGAGTTGAGGAAGCTAAGTGCTTGAATGAAAAAGTCGTATTTTTTAATGTTTGCACAAAGACATAAGTTAGGTAAAACATGCACATTCTTTTCCATCACTCTCTGGTCTTCCCTCCCCAAGGACTGTAGTCCACGGGGCAGGCCTGGCAGAGGCTCAGCCTGGATGCTGTGCCTGCCACCTGCCAAGTGTTCCCTCCATGCCCCCAGCCTGAGCCAGCTGGAAATCCTAAGTCAAGACCAACTTTAGTCCAGTACATCTTGGACCAGGTCTGGCTGTAGTCTGTTGCCCAGCGACTTCTGAGCATGAGGCAGAGCCAAATCATTAGAATCAGTGGGGCAAGTGCGCATGTCGCTAGGAGAGATTTGCAGACGGAGAGGTCCATCCCTTTGCTAACAGATGACAAAAGCAGCCAGAGAAGGGCCACAGCTCAGCCAAAGCTACACAGTGGTTTCAGATCTTGGCAGCTGTAACTCCTCAAGTCTGGGCAAGAGAAAAAGAGAAACAAGAGCTCAGGCTGCAGGCAGAGGACCCCAAGATATGTGGAGAAGGGGATGGCTAGAGGGTCATGCATCTGCATGCTGCCCAGGACACTGGCCCATCCGTCTCAGGACGCTGCCTCCCTGCCCCTTCCTGGGAAGTCACTCCGGTGTGACTGACACTATGCAGAGGCTCAGTGAACAGTGCAGAGGGACGGTCCAGGGGACTGTCAACTACATAAACTACACAGACAATGGCTAACACTTACTGAGCACCTGCACACCAGGTTTTCTTACAATTCTCAGGAATCATTAAGAACCTCACTTTACAAATGATGATGGCTTGGCACAGAGAGGTTAAATAACCTCCAGAAGGTCACACAGCTAGCAAATGGCAGATTTGAATCCTGAGATCATAATCTTCATGCTATGTTCTATGATAAGCCTCTCATCACAGATGTTCCTTGGCTACTGATGGCTTAGGGCCCATTAAGCTGGTGTAAGCTGAGACTAGTGTTAAGTAAAAAAACACATGTAATGCATTCATTCTGCGAGACTTAGCCCTGCCTACCTTAAACATGCTCAGAACATTTTCATTTTTCCTACGAGCGGGCAGAATCACCCAACCCAAAGCCTATTTATCATAAAGGGTTGCACATCTTGTATAATTTATCGAATGGTGCACTGAAGTGAAAAAGCAAAATCGTCAGATAGGAATAATTTTGTACCACAGTGAAGCTGAAAAACATTACATGCCACCACCATCACAAGTCAGGGACTGCCTGCAGGAAGAACTGCCAACAAGGGACTCTCACATTTGAAGTTGTCTCCATATCAGTATTATTGGGATGTGGCGAAGTACAGCAAAGCAGAAGTGGAAAAACTGAAAACGGAGTATAAAGCTTCTGTGACACCAAAGCAGATGTTTGGAATGTCACTTGGGATTGCCCAGCACTCGTGCTCCAGTGTCCCCTGGACCCAGGGAAAGGTCCTAACAGGGGATGGTGGAGAAGACTCAAGTGCCCCCAGGCCTTGCTGCCCAGTGGGGCACTCCCTCGTGATTGGCTTCAGGGCAATCAGCCAGGACCAGAAGAGCAAGCTGGAAACAGTTAACTCCCACCTACCCCATGTCCCCCCTCCAAATTGGATCCTGCCCGAGGAATGGGGACCCCCGCATGGACCTACCAGGTCCTCGTCTGGCCTCAGGTGCACCTTCTTCAGCAGGGAGCGGGTCAGGTGGTTGCACAAGGAGACAATGCTGAAGGAAAGCTGAGGCAGCCAGAGAGGAGGAACAGGTGGGTGAGTGACAAGGCGAGACGCCGCCCCCTGCCCCCAGCTGCAACCCACTCCCCTAAGCCCCCACATACCTTCCAGCGCCTGCGCACATACTGCTTCTTGAAGTTCTCCAGGTTGACCACTGACTCCCTGCGCACCATGGCCTGCTGGTTGTCCACGGGCTGAGAGACAAGCAGGGTGGGATGGCTGACACTGGTTTCCCCTGGCAGCAACTGCCTCCCTCCCGACAGAATCTGGCACCTTCTGGCCTGGCAGGGCAAACAGCCACAGCAAAACCAGCCAACGGTAGGGCCAGAGCTCTTAAGGGTGGCGTCTGTTCAGAGGCGCCCCTCAGCCTGAGCCAAACATACATGGGGGTTCAGCTGCCCCTCCCAAGGGGAAAAGCAGCAGGTAGAGGCTCCAAGCACAGGCCATTGTGGGAGGGGGGCAATTTAGTGTATTTATTGTGGGCCATGCAACCAATTTGGTGGTTGCCATAGGTAATTGTATCTTCAATGTTAAAAAAATTTTTAAGATGTATATTGTTTTAGAAAAATATTTTAGGGGCCCATGTTGTTGCACGCTGAGTTAAACTACCACCTATAATGCCAGCACCCCATATGTTGCGATGCCAGTATGCCATATATCCCATATGTGTGTTGGTTTGAGTCCTGCCTGGACGCAGCTCCCTGTTCATCAACCTGGGAAAACAACAGAAGATGGTCCAAGTGTTTAGGCTCCTGACACTCATGTGGAAGACCCAGATAAACTTCCTGCTGTCTGGCTTTGGCCTGGCCCAACTCTGAGTATGGCTGTTGTAGCCATCTGGGGAGTTTACAGCAGATGGACGATTTTCTGGTGTTCTCGCTATGGGTGTGTATGTGTCTCCTTCTCTGTAACTGACTTGCAATAACATAAATCCTTTAAAATTGTTTTCATTGTACTATTTCTGTGATACAATGTGATACTTTGACACAGATACACAGTGTGTGATGAGGAAGTCGGGCTATTTAGCATTTCCTCCTTCTTACACATTTAAAAAAATATGTTACGGTTTCATAGTCGCTGTTGGCAGGATTCAAGTTCCTCTCCTCTAGTAATCATTAACTACATGACAGGTGACCGTGAACTGCAACCTCCACACTGAGCTGGAGGAAGCTAACCATGCTCTTACAAGAGCCTCATTTCCTGGCACCTGGTGCGTCCACTGCGCAGCTGGGACTAGCAATGGGCTCACCTTGCAGGCAGACAGGGAACCAGTGCTCCATTATCAAGTACATTAGCCTAGAGGCTTAGACACCTATGTCTCTGGTTTGATTCTTAGGTCTGGTTCTGACTCAGTGCAGACTGTCAGAGGTAGCAGGTGATGGCTCAAGCAACTGGTTTCCTGTCATCCACACGGGCAACCTGCACTGACTTATGCAGGTGTTTAGGGGAGTGAACTGCTGGGTTGCTAGCTCAGCCTGTCTGTCTCTGTCCTCTCTGTACTCTCAAAGTAGTACATTTTTTTTTGTTAAGATTTATGTATTTATTTATTTTTGGAAAGGCATATCAGATTAATGGAGAGAAGATGAGACAAAGAGAAAGATCTTCTATCTACTGGTTCACTTCACAGTGGCCACAATGGCCTGAGCTAAGCTGATCCAAAGCCAGGAGCCATCAACCTCTTCTGGGCCTCCCAAATGGGTGCACGGTCCCAAGGACCTGGGCCATCCTCTGTTGCTTTTCCAGGCCACAAGCAGGGAGCTGGATGGAAAGTAGAGCAGCTAGGACACAAAAATATGGATTTAGCCATTAAACCATCCACATTGGGCCCAAAGTACATTTTTTTTTTAAATGGAAGGGAATAGGGCTTTGAGGAAGGTTAATCAGAGACAGGATGAGCAGTTGCTTTTGCAGTCTGGACATCAAAACTCAGCTTAAATCCTGATGCCCCCACAGAGCTTGGCAGGCCCCTCTGAGCCTCTGCTTTCCCATCTGTGATGTGGGGATAATAACAACATGTGACAGAACAGTTAAGTTGTAAATCAGTGTGTGTCTACAAAGTGACAAACCCAGTACCCCTTAATAAACAGTAACAAATCATTGTTTATCTTCCAGTCTTTTCTACTCCCTCTTAAGTTTCCCCTTGATGTAGAACAAGCCTTTCTAAAATCAAGATGTGGGTGTCAGGGGTTCCCAAAATGGCTTCCAAATTCAGTATGTGCAGTTGCACATGAAGTTTCAGAGCAGTGTTATTCCTAACAGTCCCAAGGAGGAAGCAGCGTAAATGTACTCTAGCAGATGAACAAAGTGGGGTTGCTCTGGACAATGGCACAGCTTTCTGGGACATTCTTGTAGATTCCCATGCAGTTCTGGGGTCAGCTGCAACCCAGATGAGCCCTGAGCCACTAAAGTATCATGCTAATGAATGAAACCACACACAAAATGCCACCTGGTGTATAAATCCATTTCTATAAGATGCCCAGAATAAGCTGGTACACAGAGGCACAGACCACATCTGGGGTGATGAACGTGTTTTGGAGTTGGTGATGAAAACCATGGAACATTGTGACATGGCTAAAAGCCACCGAATCACATACTTCAAAATGACAAGTTATACCTCAATAAGAACCACTGTGGTGTATGCATGCATAGACGCCTTGTTTTTCCAGAGGTGAGTCCCTAGCATCTGTCCATTCTCCAAGGACACTGCTATCTCTAGAAAATGAACTACTTGCATGACCTGTGGTCCCGGGCAGTCAAGGTTTTCCTCTGCTCTGAGCCTCCTTGTGGCAGCACCTCCTCCAGCCTCACAGGGAATGCTGTGTGAGGCAATGCACTGATTACCCAGTGCCAGCCTGGTCTCCTAACTATAGCCAGAGCACCCTGCCATTGCTGTCCATTTTCACCATGGCACCGGACACCAGCAGGCGACCAGTGCACACAGCTGGCCACACTGCTCTGAACTAGGCATCCTCCTGAGGGAGTTCTTGTCTATGGCTCCCGTAGGTCATGCCCTGAAAGGTCTTCCAGAGTTTCACAGCCAACCTCAGGTGCGACTTCCTGCAAGACAACTTCTAAGAAGCAATGTAGAGGAGAAGCAACTTATGGAAGTGTGCTTTCTCTCTTTCTTTATTGCTCTGCCTTTCAAATTAATAAATCTTAAAAACAAAACTGAACACAGGAGTAAAGAGGAGGAAGACAGAAGAGAGAGAGGAAAAGGAAACAGACTGAGGGCCTGATGGGAATCATTAGGCCATGTCCAGCTCTCCCTCTCAGCTCCCATCCCACTGCACCCGCAAACCCAGCTGTGGATCTAGGTACCACCTGGAAGAAAACATGAAAGCAGGCAGAGGGCAACTCCTCCCTCTCCAGCCTTCCATGGCTTGCTTGCACTCTACACCCAACCTAGCAAGCTCAAGGAGATCCTTACATTCTCCCCACCCCCAAGGCCAATTTCCTCCCCTCCCCAATTCCTTCCTCTCCACCTGACTCCCACTACACTGGTCTGCTTGCACTTTGTACTTCAAGCTCTCAGGCCTTCGCCTTCTCCCCACTTACACTCCTTGTGTCACCTGGCTCAGCCCTTTACTTGGCTATCACCTCCTAGAGTGCCTTCCTTGACCTCTCTGTATATGACAGCACTGCCACTGCTATGCCCAGGTCCAACTTCCACGCTGCACAAGTTTACCTGATGGCTTATTTTACATTTAACTTTTATAATTTAAAAAATGCACTAACTTAGGGATAGATGTTGTAGCTTAGTGCGTTAAGCCACCTGCATCAGAGTGCAGTCCAACTCCCTGCTAACACACCCTGGAAGGCATCAGATGCTGACTCATAACTGAGCCCCTGCCACTCATGTAGGAGACTCAGCTGAAATTCCAGGCTCTTGGCTTTGGCCTGATCCAGCCATGGTTGCAGCAGCCATTTGGGGCATTGAACCAGCAGGTGAAGAATCTTTTTGTCTCCGTTTCTATCTCTGTTTCTCTGTCATTCTGCCTTCCCGAGTAGATGAAATAAACATTTAGAAACGTATTTATTAATTAATCTGAGAGACAGAGAGATCTCCCGTCTACTGCTTTATCTCCAAATGGCTACAATGGCCAGGACTGAGCTGGACAGAAGCCGGGAGCTGTGAACCCAGCTCTCTTCTTCCATGAGGGTGGCAGGAACCCAGCCACATGGGCCATCACCACTGCCACCCGGGTCTGCGCTGGCAGGAAGCTGTAGTCAGAGTGAATCCCAGGGACCCTAACACGGCACACGGGCATCCTAGCCAGCGCTTTAACTGTTAGGCCAAATGCCCACCCCTGTAGTTTTGAGTTTTGGTAATTCCCTCTACCTCTTCAGACCTCTCGACTGCTGGTATCTCTTTCCCAGGATGCTTAGCACCCTGCCATCCCAGCCCTTAAAACAATCCTACCTCTGACTCTACTGCAGTGGCTGCGATTCACTGGCATGTGAATGACCTTGGAGCCCAATCCCTGCAGGGGCACCTGCCTCTCACAGAACTAGCTGAATGGGGCAGGATTAGCAGAATTGTCCACTCATGATAGAAAAACCACTCAGGATAGAAAAGGCTCAAGGGGCTGTTACCATGGCACAAGAGGCTAATCATCCCTCCTGTGGCACCAGCATCCCATGTGGGTGCCAGTTTGAGTCCTGGCTACTCCAGCCCTCTGCTAGTGCCTGTGGGAAAGCAGTGGAGGATGGCTCCAGTTCTTAGGACCCTGTACTCATGTGGGAGACCTGGAGGAGGTTCCTGGCTTTGAATCAGCTCAGCTCTGGCTGTTGCAGCCATTTGAGAAGTAAACCAGTGGATGAAAGAGCTTTCTGTCCCTTCTCAATGTGAATTTGCCTTTCAAGTAAAAGTAAACATATATATATATTTTTAAAGTAAACATATTAAAAAGAAAAGGCTCGGGCCCGGTGCAGTGGCGCAGTGGTTAAGGTCCTCGCCTTGCACGCCCGGGATCCCATATGGGCGCCGGTTCTATCCTGGCAGCCCCGCTTCCCTTCCAGCTCCCTGCCTGTGGCCCAGGAAAGCAGTCAAGGACGGCCCAAAGCTTTGGGACCCTGCACCTGCGTGGGAGACCCAAAGAGGCTCCTGGCTTCGGATAGGCATAGTATCAGCTGTTGCACTCACTTGGGGAGTGAATCATCGGACGGAAGATCTTCCTCTCTGTCTCTCCTCTCT